GGTTCTATTTTGACACAGACTTCTTGTCCTTTTTTTGCAACATCCACTTGTTTATGGTTTATTTCAATACTTGTCACTATTCCAATATCAACAAACTGTAAAGTAAGAATAACGATTAAATCATGACTGTCTCAGGCACCATAAGAGCTGAAATAACAGGAATAAAAGAGCCTATTTTAAAGATGTTGGCTCTGTCCTACTAGGTTTTAACGTCACTTAACTAGGGTCTTCATGTAATTCTCACTGGTAAACTGGGGACACTATCACATGTCCTGTATTTGTTATTAGAAAGATTGGAGAACAACAGGAGATCACAGATACATTTTGCTAAACTTGAAATACTTTTTTTTTTTGGCTGTGCCACTTCACAGGGCACAACAAATGAAAGGCACCTCGAGTCCATGTGAAGAGGAAACGCTCAAAGACAGTAAAGGAGGAGGTCCATGCACAGTAAAAGCAGTGCAGTGAAAGGGGGTGGGGCGCGCACCAGGGTGAGAATGTTACGTTATATTCTATGGATTTTGCAAAGTTTTGGGCAAGTGATCTCAAGTCACAGTTCAAGAAATTAAGTAGGCAAAGCGTGGAATATAAACATAATCAAGCAATACCTGATTCTCAATCAATGGTTTTCAATCTTGACCATATACCAAAATTGCAAGTAAGGCTTGCAAAAAAAAGACTGCTCAGTATGTCTGGGGCCTGATCTATCCTGCTGGTTTGGGAATCATACTTTGAGAGCCACTACTGTAATTGCAGCAAAAAGCAACGCTCAGGCTAGGCCATAACCAGCTCGAGAGAGCAAACTAGAAGGTACAAAATGAAAGGGTAAAAAGCTTACGTTCCTGAAATAAAGTTCCTTTTAAATTTACTGTCTACCTTCAAGTTGGAACTGACTCATAACTGACACTCCAACACGTTTCCAGAGGCAGTAAACCGCATGGGAAGAAACTACCCCTTTTCTTCTGAGAAGCAGCTTGTAGATTTGAACCTTTTGTTGGCCGTGCAATAATACCTTACCACTGAGGCACCAGAGTGCTCCCTTTTTTTTTTTTTTTTTAAATAAGAGGAAAACATTTTTAAACTCTTGTACGCAGCTCCTCTTCCTTTTATTTAAGATGTCAAGGGAAAACTGGACACAATGAAAAGCATAAAAGGCCAACCCTACTGCAACCAAATTAAAGGTAACCTAACTGCCATCAGACTAAAAGGAGCTGTAAAATGACGACGTGTATCCCAATTGCAAATTAAAAGGATGCCTGTTAGATTTGTTTACATAGGGTTATCTTTCCCCCATACTGCACAGATTCCTCAAAAGCTGAAAACAAAAAATTTCACCAAAAAACCCCAAACAAAAAACATGTCAGCGCAGACATGACTGATCTTCACCCCACACTCAAAAAAGTACACACAGAACTTACATTTTTGCTTGGCACACACATAGGTGTACCCTGTTTGACCTGACCTGCTTCCACAGTCACTCCCATCACTATTGGGTCTCTAGAATTGAAAATAAACTGAGGAAGAATCTTCATCTTGCATGGAAATACTGCTATGTGCCTAAAAAGGGGGGGAGAATTTAAAGTTTTTAATCCCATAACACCATTTTGAACAGCAAAAAACAATACATATGAATCTTTAGTTTCTCCCAGTGGAAAAGCAGCTTTTCTCAGAGTTCTTGTGAGAGGAACAGCACGGGAACTATGAATGGCCCTGAGAGTGGAGACACCTCCTCGGGCTTTTCCTTCTCTTGCCTCTTCCTTGTTCATCCTGTTTCTTCCTTAGACTTCGTTTTCTTACCTCTTAAGCCCTGTACCTAGAAGCTGCTGCATCTTAAACCTGTGCCCAAATTAAAAATAAAGCTGCAACTACCTCCTCCTAAGGCTCTACGTGCAGCAGCCCCTAAATAGTCTACCCTGTGGGCTTAATTTTAAACATCAAACCAGTCTCATTTCCTCTACCATCACGCCAAATGAGTTGGTTCAAATCCAGATTTAAGGGGGGGAAAGCACAACAAATCACCTCCCACAAGATAAAACTCCCCAATTTAGCAAATTTCTCTGTCATTTTTTGTGAAGTCAGAACTGACTCACAGCTGACCCTCCAAAACAGGTTTTCAAAGGCTGTAAATGGCATGAGAGGGGACGGCCCATGTTTCTCCTGCAGAGCACCTGATGGACCTGAATCACTGCCTTTGAGCTGGCAGCACAGTTCCTTAACCACAAGGCCACCAGAGCTCCCCAATAATGCCCAAGCTTTCAAATTGAAAATTTAAGAAAACCTGACCCAAGGGCTACAAAGACGATTTGTTCACATACGGCTTAAACAGATTTATGGTTGAGGACATACAACTTCAGGCTGTAGCCTCTGGTTCATGAGAAAAATGGCATTTTCTGTTGTTTACATCAGTAAGTAAAATTAACAACTTACTTAAATTCTTCTTGTTTCTGTTTCTTGTAGTCTTGTCTATATTTTGTAAAGGCATCAAATAAATGATAAATAATTTCTGCACTAAAAATTCTAACGCCTAAACTATCAGCCATTTCTTGAGCATCCCGTTCAATTCTCACATCAAAGGCCAAAATTACGGCATATCTGGAAACAAAAAATAGAATGAAGAGGACATAAAGGACAATTCTAAGAAAACGGGCAACTAAGAGGAAAGACTTAATAGCAGAAAACAAAATTCCTTACTGAGGATCATGTTCCAGCATCACTGATGCCTTCATAACATCTTTTTTATGGACTGGGCCAATATTAATTCCTGCATACTGTATGAAAAGAGAATTTCGGAGTTAATTCACTGTATCAGGGAACAGAGCCACATACCACCAAAGCTGTCTCCTCTTGAAGTTGGGTACAGTTACTTACAGGTACTTCTGATGTTTTCAGAAATTCAAGTAGAGCTTCCAAAGAACCCAGAGTAGACGCCTGGACATAGACCCCCTTCTCTTCTAATTTGATGGCATTTAGTGTCTGCTTTAACTCATGGATTAACTCATCC